AGAGAAAAGCATACGCCTTATTGTAGCAGACTCCATGTAAGAATGCTTTTATGTGCTATTTTTTTTTCTATAATTGGCCGAGGGGGAAACTTTAAATGATACACATTATGTTGTTGCATTTTCCTCTTTTATCCTATGCTGGTTGCTCTTAGCCGTATCTGAGTGCATAGAAAGTAAGAACTAAGATTGGGTCCTAGAGTCAGCCACTTGGGTTTGAATCCTGGCTTTAACTTCTCTGCCTCCGTTTCCCCATCTCTAAGTGAGGGACACTAATCATACTGATCTTGCAGAGTTGCTTTGAAGCTTAAAGCATTTAGAGCGGAGCCTGGCGCATGGTCAGCCTTCTGTAAATGTCAGCTGTCGTGTTATCCACAGCCTGCTCCCTAGAGGTCTGTTGAGACTGAATGTGTGAACGTGCTCAAGCACCTTCTCTTCCATTGTTCTCTGCTCCTGTTTTAAAATTTGGGATGTGCGTGTCCTCTCCTTCTCTTTTCAGCCTTAGAAGAATGTCCTGGCTTTTTTTTTTTTTTTTTTAACTATAGAAACATCAGTTTCAGTGAAGGGCATCTCATCACACTAAGGTCACACGTGACAAATGGTCTTTTATTACCTGCTGATTACAGTTAACCTTAATTTCTTTCATGGCAGCCATGCGGTGCCTTCTATTTAAATAGAGCTGTTCCTGGATGTGACTTCTCGAGCCTCTCTGGGTTTAATTCTAATTTAACTTGCCATTCCAAGTGGGACTGTTGTGCAACAGAAGTCATGATTCACTCATTTGTTCTCTCTGGATCTAATTATTACCATGCAGTGCCTGTGAGGCCCCCTCGGGCGCTCATTCACTCCTCCAAATGGTCTAACCTTCTGGGGAAGGGAGTGGGCCTCTTTGAGCTGTGCAGATGCCTTTAGTACATTCTCTGGGAACACACTGGCAACTGTTGTGCCCCTACCATTTTCATCGTACCAGCTTATCACGAAGGATTGTTGGAAGAATCCTGCGCTGGCGTCCGCGGCATTTCCATCTTCAGAACAAGACCAGCTTTTGAAGCACAGAAGCAGCTTGCATGTATCTGGGGATACCTGAAGGGCCTTCTGGACAAAGGGCACGTTGCTCAGAGAGCAGAGGGCAGAATGGAAATACCCGAAGAGTGATGATAGCTCTTCTGTTACCGGACGCCCCCGCGTTGGGAGCCTTGGGGTGGGACAGGGCAGGGTGAGACTGCGCAGAGCGAGATGGCCATCCACCACCCCTGCTCACCAGGTGCTTACCGGGGTCACAGGGGAGGCTTTTGTTCATTCGCCGGTATCCTGTGCACGTTCAGAGGGATCTCAGTGGAAGGCCACTGAGAATTTTAATTGTAAGCCATACTTTAGAATGCCGTCCTCTTGAATTTAGGGCAAAGAGCTGAGACACTTATGTACTCGTGGTTTTAACGATCACCCAGACTCTCTGATATTCAGGAGCCGCTTTGTGTATAGTGTTTTAAGTATGAAGCCTAGGGAAGGGAGAGTAAGAGTGAAGAAGAGTGACCATGGTCTGAAGACCTGCAGTAAAAGAATCCCGGTAAGGATTAATTAACCAGTTGGGGATTCATTGATTGATTATATTAAGTTAAAAATTAGGAATACCTGACTTAATACACTCATCTGTTCATTCATTCATTCATTCGTTCATTCATTCAATTTAGCAAACATTGCTTGAATGCCCACCGTGTTCTAGGCTCTAGAGATACTTGGCACCAGTACCTTCACTGTCACATTTCCTGCCGTGGCCTTGGGTTGACCAAACCCCCACCTTTGGTTGTCTTTCCCCTCTAATGCCTGCCATCTGTGGGTTCATGCGTGGACCCCAGCGTAGCAGCGGTCCCACACGGACTTGGAGTGTCTTCTCATCTTTCTGTGTTAAGTTCTTTTGCTCTTTTGATCCCTGTCTACTTCAGTGCACCTTTTCTTACCTTCCCACAAAGAGATCACATAAGTGGTTCGAAAAGGCATAACCTCACCCAAATTTCTTCAGCATCTTCTGAGGATGCCTCTGCCATTTTAAAAGGGGAGCTAGGGAAAAATTTTACCCATTGGAGAGCATTTCCAAGCTAGCTCTGCTGGACACAGCTATTGGTTGCACATAGCTTTTTAAATTTTTTTTCTTAATTTTTATTGCGTAGATACCTTTAGGGGGTTGTGCTTCATAATGTCCTAAACTATTTTACCTTAAAATGAAGGAAATCAATGTGTGAGGTTTTGTAGCATGAAGGCCATGCACCTAACGTGTCTTTTTTTGGTGTAAATTCAGGAGTCTCGATGAAGTAATATCATGCCATTCTGTGGCCTTTGCTTTCCTTAACCACCTGCCAAATGGTTCCATGATTGTTGGACTGTAGAGCAGCATCACTTCGTTGGTCCCTTAAAGACCTGCTTAGTGGTTACTTGGTTTTAAGTTCAGATTTATTTTTTACTTTTCTCTGTATATACACATACACAGCAAGATAAATAGCTAAAATAAACTGCAGGCAAAACAATGTATGTGTGTGATTATGCATAGTTACATTTACACTTATTAGTGCATAGAAAGTACTGTATAGCACAAGCCGTTCTGATGGAAGACTTTAAGTTATAATTTGAAGGAAACAGATACCATATCATCTTCTCTTGATTTAAAAGCTGTCAAACATATCACGACACAGAAATCTCTATTTTTGAGGTCCCCAAGTGCCAAGATCCATATTTATTTTCATGACTAGATATTCAAGAAATGAATTACTGTTGCCCTATCATCACACGCGTACAGCTTGGTTCACAAGAAACCCACCCTATGCTAGAGCATACCTTGGCAAGAGTGACCAAAGCCAGTGGGCCAGCGCTATTTTGACTTTTTCACAATAGGCTCCAGTCGCTCCAACTGAGTCAGTTATGTGGAAAACCACAAATCCACATTGATTCATAGGAAGCTGGAAAAAGTGGCTTAGCCATCCCATATTTTCTTTCATTCTACTAATAAAGATCTTGCATAAAACTCTTTTAAGGCACAAGTAGATAAACACCACTTATATTTTGTCTTAGCTAATAATAGAAAGCTTTGGCTGCTGAATCTGTTATTTGTACAAGTGAGAAGATACACTGAAAACTTAAAAGGCACATATGAAGAAGGAAACATTGAGGGAAAAAAGTTTACTGGAGCAATGTTGTAGTGAAGTATTAGAAATAATCTAAATGTTGATCACTTAGGAAATAGACTTTAAAACTCCGGGATGAATATTCACTGGACTACTTCCATGTTTAATCTAAGTCATGCATCAACCACTGGCCCCCAAAACAACCCACTGTTTTGTGAAGAAGGTTTTATTAGAACATTAGCCATACTTCCTTGTTTACATATTGTCTGTAGCTACTTACATGCTACAAGGGCAGAGTTGATTTGTTACAACATAGACTGCATGACTCTCAAAACAAAATATTTGCTATTTAGCCATTTACAGAAAAAGTTTATACCAACCCCTGATCCAAGTTAAAATAGCACATATTGTAAAATGCACCATTGCTGGATGTACTACTAATACAGAAAAAAATTTATGCCAGTTAAACTATGACAAGCCTTCAGTTGTAAGAAGTATCTTACATTTTAGAGACATCAAAATATGAAAAAAATCATCTTAGAATGGATGAGTTGTGGATATAGCACTTCAAGTAAATAAACGACAGTGTTGGCATCAACGTGGATAATCTCACATGCTTAATGTTGAGTAAGCAAAAGGCAAGTGTAGAGCAATTTGCAAAATGATGTGAACGATATGATGATATTTATATGTCTCTTAAATAACAAAACAGTATTAGGAGTTTCTATGACCGTGGGTACGTGTAGGTAAGGATAATTTGAAAGAATTGGAAGAATTTAAAGAAAACCGATGACAGGTTTTCCCTGGGAGGAAGAGGAAGGAAGACAAGGGTGGGGTTTTACCTTTACCTGTAATCTGCTTAAGTGAAGCTTAAATGTCACTTTCTTCAAAGAACTCTTACTCAGAGTCATTCAGTTTTTTTTTTTTAAAGAGATAATTTACTAATAAAAGATATTTTTGAAAAGCATCAAAACGTGAAAAAGCTGGAAGAAAATATGTCAATATAAACAGTGGTAAATTCTTTACAGTAGAAATATGGATGATTCCTTTTGTGTTGTATTTGTTATAATAGTAAAGAACTTCATGGGTAACTGAAAACGATTAGTCATATTCTTCATTTCTACCTCAATCAAAAGAGATTAAGGTTTGAAGAAGTACATGTTAATCAATTACCTGACGTTACAAACTAATCCTGTTTTTCTACTGTGGCATTAGGATTAAACAACGTGCAAGTCAGGGCCAGATTTCGTAGTTAAAAACTTTTTCTCATAATGGTGGTACAGCTAATCTTTAAATACAATGTACTTGATTCCTCACCATGAAAAACCACCAAGTGGAAAAGTTAAATGTCAGGTGCATTTTACCAAACAGAAATAGCTTGTCATGAGTCATGTTATTGATGTACTGATGTCATTTCTTTCAGCCTGACCTCACTTGTTTTGAAATGTACCTTGTGATTTTACTCAATTTTATATGCTGTCACGTGCAGTTCAGACCCCCGTGTTACTTATTAAATGCATTCATTTTGTCTGTCTGTAGCAGAGCTTCCAAAAATAATCTCTGTGTCATTCAGAAGGGTTCCAGATTTATTTCTTTTGATGAGGAGGATCTACTCACCTACCACTGATTTTATTTAGTTTTTGTTTCTGTCTTGTTGTTTTAAGCATGTCTTTCTCTCTAGAGGAGTGTTTTATCAGAAATAGGCCAAGCTGCCTGCCTTCGAGATTAAGAAATAAAGCGTGTCCAAGAAAGTGCTGGTGGGAAATGCGGCCATGGGGCCTTCAGTCTATAGGAAGCGACAGCCTATGAGGCTGAGGTCTCATGCCACTAGAACCAAAACAGAGCGCTCTGCTGCTCACCATTTAACTCCACGTTTTCTTTTTCCAGTTCAATTTCACCATTTAGCATTGAGAGCACAAGACGCCAGAGACGGTCTGAATCCCCAGACTCCAGAAAACGGCGTATCCACAGATGTGATTTTGAGGGATGCAACAAAGTATACACGAAAAGTTCTCACCTGAAGGCTCACCGAAGGACACATACAGGTACAGTGTCCCAGGGCTTCTCACTTGGGGTGGGGAGGGGGGAGGTTCAGTGAAAGTCCCAAAGGGGCCACTGCTTGACTCCGGGGTCCTGAGTGCGCTGGAATGGTGTTTTATACTTGCTCGTTATATAGCCATCTGAAGTTTACTTCCTGTCTGAGGGGAGTGCATTTCCCTGTCTCAGTTGAAAAAGGCTTAAGTCTTAGTGAACCTTAGCAACCAATGAAGTATGTCTTCTAGGTCTCAAGGACGTTTACGATGGTGGGACACAGTGATCCAGCCTTTTTTATAATCAGTGTTGCCACTTAACCATTGTCTGGTTTCTCAGATTCTAAAATGTCCACAAAGCACACTGAAGAACAAGCTGAACAAAATTATTTTATCCTCTTAAAGTTAGCATTTTAAGCATCACTCAAATCCTGGTTTCCCCCCTCGGTCTCTTCCCCCAAACGACCAAACAAATAAACCAAAATAAATAAAAATAAATAAATAAATAAATAAATAAATAAAATAAAATTGACACATATATAGCACTGTAAGGAGTGTAAAAAAATATTTTCATATGATTCCATTTGATTTTCACTGGCATTTTAGAGAGAGAGAGAGAGGATTTTTTAATACTCAGTTTACAGAGAAAGAAATGGAGATCGCACATGATTTACTGACTCTGTCACCATCCAGACACCCCCAACCCATCCATCCACCCCTCCATCCATCCATGTACCCATCCATGTACTCATCTACCCGCTCATCCATCCGTGCACCCACCCAGGAAATAACCTAGTGACTCTTTACTTAGCCCCCTACCCACTTCTTCCATCCTATGCATTGTGTGTTCCTCAGCCGGCACCCCCGGCTGCCTTGGCTCCTGGGTCCTGTTGGGAGCCACCAGTGGGAGGCTCTGGGAAGAGACTAAAGGTGGAAAGAGGGCCCCACAATTACACTACCTTTTCTAGGAAAAGTGACTGGAATGTGTGAAGCTCAAAGAAGCAGATAGAAGAGGCAAATTCATTCACACACATTCCTGGTAATTCCTGGTAGCAGTGTGCCGCAGATCCCGCAAGCTGAGTCCGGTGACTGTTCTTGACAGGAATCCGATGTCAACACCTACCTCTACCTGGAAACTTCAAGTGTAACAGACTCCCGTTGGGCTATGTGAATAGTACTGCCGTCTCAAAGATCTTAAAATAGCCACACTGTGAACACCGTTTCCTGGCCAAGGTAGCGAAATCATGTAAGCCAGCATTCATTGCCATTTACTTAGTCATGTTAGCAGAAGGTTTGCAGCTGCTTTGCAGAGACTGTGCCATGACTTCCACACATCAAGACAGGGCATCATTTGTGCGTGTGTGTGATGAAGTTCTGGTGTAGGAGGCTGGTCTGGAGTCAAAAAACATTGCAGAATCTGGAGTTTACTTTTGCTCATCTAACATATAACATACTTTGAATACTTCTAATAATTCAGCAGGTTTCACAAACTGCCTCTTCATCTTTCATCCCTGCTCCCAGTCCTTTTCCTTTTTCTACTTAATTCCAGATTCTTGCCTCTCCGTTGATTCTGAGCTTCCCCAGCAGAGGTTTTCGTCTATCTCTTCGGCACTATTTTTGAATCAATTTCTTTACCATTTAGGCAAAGAATGAGTATAAAAACATGAGAGTCAAAGAAGCATGTTCCGTCCTGTCAGTAGATAATGAACACAGATCACAGTCGTTAAGTATGATCAGGTCATATCACTCACCTTTAACGGGAGCATTTCTGTTTAAAAAAAGAGGAAGCTTTCTTCGGTAAATCTTCATGTATTTTGAGTTATTCCTTGAACTTTCTGAAATACGTATTAGCCTCATTTGTACGGAGACACCTCTATTCCATTTATCCAAGTGATGAACAGTGGATGAGAGGAGAAGGTTTAATTAGGAACTAGTAAAGGATCTAACCCCATGGCATTAAGGTATTCCATCGTATAGGTTAGTTAACATATACTATGAAAGTAGGGCAGACATGATGTATGCGTTATAATGCAAAGCAATATAAACTTTGAATGTTGAAGCAGAATTAATTAGCTTGGGTTATTAATAAGATGAAATCATAGACTCATAGGGTCCGCATGGACCTTATATGCCACAGAGTCTTCTTTGTTTCCTAACTTCGGGAATCCCTTGGGTGTCATCCCTCACAAAGAACAAGTCACTACGATGCAGTTTTCTGCACACGTACACATCTTCGGTTTTATTTGATCCTCGCAACACCCATGGCTGCAGATGTCATTATCCCCTTTGTGCAGTTGTGGCTCCTGGTCAAGTATTGTTCCCACGGCAGTGAGCTTGTTCTTCTGCAACACAAGCTGGGTGAAATTTCTGAGGGCAGAGTCCTCATGTCATCAGTACTGAATTGCCTCTTAATGGCCTTGTTTGGCTCCCAGTACCTTCTGGTTGAATGGAATAGCTCCAACTATCCATTCAACCAAAGCTCTTATTTTCACTCCCTGGCCCCGGTGCCCCTCACAACCCGATCATTAACTGCTGGCACCTTCATTTCTCCAAATCACATACCCTCAGTTCTCTTAGCCATGTTTTTCTAGATATACTCAAACATGTCACTGTGTCTTCTCAAGTTTTCACACCGCAAATTGAGGGAAGAGGTCTTGTTAATGGGCATCTCTTAAAATGTAAAAATGGTATTAAGTCCTTTAGCAGTTGACTCTGTTAAGTCCTAAATCAAAGACGGCTGAGGTCTACATCCAGTCCATCCCTCGTACCTAGAACTGATTCCTTTTGAACCTCAACACGCAATGTTGTGTGGGTAGTTGGATCTGTCCCTCCAGCGACGGCTCTCTCAGGAGTAGTGCGTTTCCTCTCATTGGACACATTTCGCTGCAGGCCAGATGATCTCCTGTGGGAGATACAGGGCAGAATCGGAATTCTGAGGGCTGCGAATGCCCTTTCAAGTCTGGGAAATAATGATTCTACATCCACTCGATTGACTTGGACCTGTTCTTCAAATAAGTTGAAATGACTTTGAAACCTCTCCCTGCCCACCTTGCATTTAGTATTTTAGCTCTCTCCTTCAGCTTCTCCATTTTTGCCAGGTATTACGTAAGACAGGCGTAAGGAAAAAGCTCTGAGATGTGATCCCAGAGACTTCCATCCAAGTGGGTCTTAATTCATTAACCAGTAGCTAAAAATCCACCCAACTGTCCTACCTCCAGTCCCTCTTTCTTGATCTCACAGCTACATCAACAGATTCCTTGTGAAATTCCTACTCCAGACCAAGACATGCCAAATCCATCCATCCACTTAGCAGAGGGATATTTACTCCATAAGACATAGCCTCCTAAATGATCAAGTAATAGTCCTTTTAAAAAGAAAGAATGAAATTTGGTTCAAAGTGAGCCCTTACGCGTTTCTGATTTATAATCCTACGCAAGATTTCTCAATTTTGTGTTCAAACTGAAATCAGCACTAGTTGAAGAGGGATTCACGTTGGCTTGCTTTGCTTTTAATAAGTGTCTTAGCCATACCTTTGCTTCAGGCATTTTGAGTAAGTTATTTGTGCGTGACCAATAACAATGAACGTAGAGCTTGGGATTATAACAGATGACTTATGAGGAGTACGCACGCTATGGGAGGTGAGCAAGTAGCAATAAGAAATTCCCCTTGATAAAGTCACGTTAATTTTACCTTTAACACTTGATCTTTTGTGCTTTTTTAGTACATGATCAGTCATCTATTTAGAACCTGCACAGTAAATTAAACACGTTTGGAGAAGTGCAAAAGAGGAACGTTCTCTAGATACTAGCAATTTAGAGTAAAGAGAAATGCTAAAGAGTTCTTTTTTAAATTTGAAAATGATTTAAATGTATTGTCATAACTGTGCAGTTTAGAGTAATAACATAAAGTCTTGCCCAAACGATTTTGACTGCCTTTACTAACACTTGCCTGGGGTAAAAAGGAAGAAAAAATATATATATCTCAGCAACCCTGAACACGTGGTTGTTAGCAGGTACATTGTTCCTATTCACTGGTATAAATTGTGTCTCCTCTGCATGGAGCAGTGTACAGTGTATTTAAATGAATATGCAGTATAATTAGATTAATGGCCATTTAAACCTTTGTTACACAAGACTAGCATGTAGTCTGAGTTTCCCTCATTTCATTTTAAGAATTGTGTTGCTTATTAAATGACTTAAACATAAATTTTAGAAGGACATAGTCTTACGAATCTGGTAGTGCTGTTTACAGTTCTCTTATTTTCTAAAAAGGTAAGCCACAGTATTTCTAAAATGCAGAAGAACAGGCAAGCAACATTCAGGCATCAGTGATCCCTGTGGCCACTAGATGGTGCACTACAACCAGACGTTGGGTCTCATCTTAGAGGGTCTGAAAGTCAACGAGAACGCTCTGGTGGCATGTGGGACATGACAGAATGATCAATGTCCTGCGAAATACTGCCATAATGATGAACAAAGAAAAGACAACATAATGATAAATTTAAAACCAGATTTTTAAAAGAGTAATTTTAACATATAAAAATATTCAGTTTCTAATGACTGGGAGTATTTTATATTCCAACTTGCTAGCCTACTCTCTAAAAAATCTGTGAGGCTTATTTAGCCAGTGTTGTCTGATATTCATTTTCATTCGTATGAAAACTGTATGCCTACATTTTAAAAATTAGTACCTGTGAAGCAATCCCATTTCTTATCAATCTCGCTTTCTCAAAAGTAAGTCCTACCTGAATTTTATACGTCAAAGAAGTTAACTCATATGGATGCTTTAAAGTTATTAACCAACTATGATTTAAGTCTCTAAAATGTGTCCTTCCCTACCTTTTACAAATGGAGGAAATGATGTATGATTTAGCTCTTCCCTGGAGGAATGATACCTTTGTAATTAATATCCAATAATGATGGTGCATTTGTGGAACACACACGTGTGCCCGCACGTGCACACACACACATTCAGACACACACATCTATCCGAAATGCTTGCAGATTCCGTGCCTT